TCCCTCATGACCTGGGTCAAGTGGACGCTCGTCGCCCACGGCGGCGCCCTCGCCCTGCAGCCCAAGGTCCTCGACCGCCTCGTCGCCCTGCAAAAGGTCCTCAACGAGCGCGCCCGGGGCCTGCCGAGCCTGCTCGCCCTCAAGGGCAAGCTCGACATGCTCGACGCCCAGATGCAGCTGCGCCAGAGCAGGCAGCGCGGCGGCGGCCGCGGTGTCGACGAGGAGGAGGAGGAGGGCGACGACGACGAAGACGAGGAGGGCGCTATTTACGTCGAGGGCGAGGAGGCCGATGTTGACGTCGCCATTGCCGAGGCCAACGGTGCGCTGCTGGCGCTGGAGGAGGGGGACGACGACGTGCCTGGGACGAACGGCTTTGCTGCCGACTCGGACGTTGACGACCACAAATGGAGGACGTCGAGGAGGGCGAGAGCGATGACGATGGCGAGGAGGTGCTTGATGAGGATGATGTCGATCACCTTGATGTCGAGGACTCGATGGATGAGGATGAGGACAGCGGGGGGCGAGGCCGCGCCGCCCTCGAAGCTGAGGAAGACGGCTCGCTCGTTTGGCAAGAGACGTTGAGCCTGTGCACCCGTGTGTGTATGTGACAGGCTTGGGTGGAAGCAGACCAAAAAAAAAAAATGAAGAGAAAGAAAGGATTCAGGGTGACGACGGTGGAACCGGTTTTGAAAAGACGAGCTTTATTGTTACAGGAGCCCCACTGGATCACACTTCACTGGGCAACCCATCCGTCCGTCTGGCATGAACGGCGACGACGGTCGATTGGCAGCGTCTCGGGTTAGACCCGTGGCGTGGTAGTCTTGTCTATAATGGCATAGAGCTGTATTTTGTCACATGCCTCGGCGTTTCTCGCTTGCTCTTCATATAAATGTACGCCTTATTCCTCGATCATCTGCATGTTGTTCGGATTGACCTGCTTGCTCTCGCAGCACTGGTCTATATCAAGAAGTGACAATGACGGGCTGTGTCAATGGCAAGAGCCGACCGGAGCACAGCGACCACGAGCAAAAAGTTACTTCGACATGGAGGCGCATAGGCTTCGAGCACAGTACAAATTGTGATTGTATAAAAAAGATATATGATGTCTGGGTTTATCTCTGTCTACCCATCTAGTAAAGCTCCAAAAACAACCAAAAAGAAGAAAAAAAAACGCCCCTAGGCATGCAGTAACCGCTCGCTCGAATTACAGGTAGGTTCGGTCCAATAGTTGGGTCAGAATCAATCAATGACAAAAGATGTGTCGATGGTAAGTGTGTACACGCATGGGTGGTCATGCGTTCTAGGTCATCAATCTCGGGTCTCGAACTCAGATAGCCCAGCTGCCGCGGCGCTCACGGACGCCCCAGGCCAAGGGATCAAGTGTGTCGAGGTTGGGATGTTGGTGAGCCCACTCCAGGATGTAGACCCGGAGGCTCTCCATCGGGGACAGCGCTGGTCTTCGGGCACCTGTGCTTCCTCGACCACGTGGCCGTGGGCCATTTGGCTGGCGTCGTCGGCACGCAGGTCGGCGATGCTGACCTTGGCGAACTTGGAGAGCTCCTGATCAAAGTTGCGGGCCATGGCGGGTACCCCAACGACAGGTAGTTGTAGACCTGGGTGATGAAGGCATCGTTGAACTCGCTGTGGATGCGATCCTCCCTCTCCACATTGGCCTTCTCGCGCTTCAGCTTCTCCTCGAGCCCATGCAGCATGTGCAGACCCTTGGCTTCGCCGGAACGGAGACGGTGCTCCGGCGGGGGCGGGGGCGAGCTTTGACTGCTGGACTCGGGCTCATCGCTCATGGAGCCACGACCGAAAGCTTGAGCAAAGGGGTCGCCGGGCGTCGACGGCATGGGGAGTCCTCATGACGGTCGGGGGCTGCAGTTCGGCCCGCACGATATTCGTGCTTGTTGCGGCTGTCCTTGTAGCAGTAGCCCCGCCACAGAACCACCTCCGCCGGGGGGGTCTCTGTTGATGTCCTCCATAAACTCAACTTCCTTGAATGGGTGGTTGGGTTCAAGCTTTTGTTAGCTTTAGGCGACGGGCACCGTCCGAAAAGTCAATTTCTTTGCCGAGCATGGGAGGTGAGGCAGCACTCCCTCATCC